ATATTATATTATATTATATATATATATTATATTATAATATTATTTATATTAATATAATATTATTATATTAATATATGTATTATAATATATAATTTTAGAATTAGCATAATTTTTTAAATATTTATAAAATGTTTGCAGAAGTATTTTTATTAAGTGCAAAAGCTGGTGGAGTTGGATTAAATTTACCTGGAGCATCTCGACTTATATTATTTGATTCAGATTGGAATCCAGCATCTGATTCACAAGCTATGGCAAGAATTTGGAGAGATGGTCAAAAAAATGATGTTTATATATTACGGTTTGAATATTTTTCATAAATTATAAATAAATATATCAATATATCAGAAACATTTTTATAACAATATATATATCAATATATTATAAACAAAATTTATAGATTACTGACAACAGGTACTATTGAAGAAAAGATTTTTCAAAGACAAATTAACAAAGCAAATTTAAGTGAAACTGTGATAGACTTAAATTATTTCTCTTCTATTAAATTATCTACGAATGATTTAAAGGTTTGTTTCATATTTTAAATTAAATAATTTTTTAAATATTAAATATTTTTAAAATAATATGAAATAATACATAATGTGCATAATATTTATAGGATTTGTTTACATTAACAACAAATACAAATAGTTTAACACATGATTTAATGAAGTGTTCTTGTAATGGATATAAAACGTCGGAAGAAATATCAAAAGAATCACATCAAGAAAATAATAGAGAATATCAATTTCTTATAAAAGATAAAATGCCAAATGTTAAAAATTTAACAATAAATCAGCTTTTGAAATGGGAACATTATCAACAACCAATCCCAAACAAAATAATTCAAGTAAGAATAAAATAATAATTTCATATTAAATATCATATAAAATAGAATGTATTAATAATGATTGTTTTTATATATTTTATAGGAAATTATGCTGTCAGAAGTGTCTGATAACATAACTTTTATATTAAAAAATTCTGTATTAAATAAGACAAAATTAAATTAATAAAACAAATATTTATATTATATAAAAAATATATTATATATAAAATATACATAATGGAAAGTAGAAATATTTAAATTTTGCTTTTATGTAATATAAAATTTTTTAATCTTTCTATAAAATCAGAAGATTGTATATGTTTTATAAGTTCAGTACATTCTTCTGCATTAACTTCCAATAAAATGTTCTGATTCCATTTTTTAACTAAATGTTTAATTGCTAATATAGACTGAAAAATAAAATTTGAAATAATTATATCAGTATACTGTATTTTTTTATATAAATTTTATATTAACTTACCTTTAATGAAAGTTTAGTTAATTTTTTTAAATATATCCAAACTTCATCTAAACATTCATATTTATATATTTCACTAACTAAACCATATTGTTTAGCTTCAAATGCATTCATTTTATATCCTAAATATAACATATCACTAGCCTAAAATTTTTTAAAGATTTTAAATTAATCACAATTAATAAAACTACATATAACTTTAAAATTTGTACTTTAGATTTTCCAAATATTTTAGGAAATGTATATGTAGAACATCCTTCTGCAATAAGGCCCAAGCTTGTAAATGGAGTTTGAAAGTATGCCTATAATGTAAAAAATATTGTAGAATAATTATAATTTAGAAAATATATATATATATGAAAGTCAATTAAGATATAAGAACTATAAAATTACTGTATCTGATGCATATGTTATATCAAATAATGGAAGTATTGTCACCGCAATTCCAATTGCAGGACCATTTACAACAGCTATTAAAAGTTTGGGATATGTAATTAACATATCTATAAATTTTCTGTAAAATTATTATTAAAATTTAATAATAACATATATTTTTTTTTAATAATAATATTTTTTTAATAATATTGAAATTTATAACAAAAGTTTTAAGTATTAAAAATTTTTTATAAGGTTATATAATATTTATAATACTTACTTAAAATCATTAATAATACTTTTGATATCAAAAACATCTTGATTTGTTAATAAAGAAACAAAATCATTTCCACTACTAAAAAAATTTCCAGTACCAGTCAAACATACTGTATGTATAGTGTTATCTTGAATAGATTTATGAAAGATCTCTAATAAATTTTTATACATCTAACAAAAAATTTATTATTAGTATTTCGGATGAATTTTTTATATTGTTATTATTTTATTATTATGAAATAATTGATCGAATTATTATAAAAATTATATTTAATTTTGATGTTTTAAAAATTAAAATCTAAATCTTATGATATGTACATGAGGTTATTTTAATTCTATAATATAATTTTTATATTCTTAAATAGAATATAAAAATAAAATTAGTTAAATATCAATAATAATTTTAAAAATTACGTACAGAATTGGTAATAGCATTTTTCTTTTCTGGTCTATTTAATGTAATTTTCAACAAACCATTTTCAACGCAATATATAATATTAGATGAATTTTCATATTCCATTGTATAAAATAATATTTAATATGGATATCCTTTAATAAAAAATAAATTATATGATCAATATTATATGATCAATTTTGATATTAAAAAATATTTACACAAATTACACAAATATATTTAATAGAATCGTAAATTCTTCTAAAACTATTGATACGATTTAATAAAAAATTATTATTAAATGCAATTAAATTATAATAATGTAATTATTTGATATCATATATTTAACAAATACATACATTTAATAGATAAATAATATTAAATATAATATATTTCCTAAACTGATTTTAAATATATTTTATTTTTTCTTTTTTATATAAATCAAAATTTATTTAATCAAATAATAATAATTTCCAAAATAAATTAAATATATAAATATAAGTTCAAAAATATTGAATATTATTAGTGTTTCAATATATTTCACAGAATAATAAATTATTTAATTAAATGTTAGTGGAACATATCTTTTGCACATAATTTACATAAATCAAAAATTTTATTGTAATGTATACACCATAGTTGCATTGGAAAAATTATATCAAACAGATAAAAGATATAACATAAAAAAATTCATTATATATTTACAATATTTTTATTATATATTTTTAAGTAAATATTAAAGAAAAAAGTAGCAATTTAATAAATATGATTTGTTCTATTTTAATAACATAAGTAAATATTACAAATAATCATTCTTACTTTTTGTTATATAACTAGTATTGCTTCTCAGTTAAATACTTGCTTGTTTTGTAACTGATGATAATCGCAATTTTTTTTATTCTTAATAGTACCATTCAATTAAACCTAAAATATAAGTACTGTAAAAGTAAAACTTTTGCACTATATCTATAATCATATCTGAAATACATATTTCTTCATGACTAGCATTTGTAATATGCTGTCTACTAAAAATTATCAAGTTTATTAATTTTAAAATTATATTTTGTAATCACAGATTACATAATCATATTACTGTCCCTAGATATTTCTAGAAAAATTATTATGTCATAAATAACAATATCTGTACATTATATATAAAAACTCATTATAAAATTAAATATTATTAAAGTAAATATTATAAAGAACATTTGATTGCTTTTACAATTAAAGAATGAATAATTTTTTTAGAATAAAATTAAACAGGCAAAAACTATTATGTTCATTAGAAAGAGGAAGCTTTATTTGGAAATAGATAATAATTATTTTCTATCAAAGAAATAAAAATTTAAATTTAAAATTTGCTTTTATATGAAATGCATAATACAAATAAAACCAAATAAGCTACAATTCTATAAAAAAAATGCATTTAAGATAATTTGTTTTTTTAATTTATCTTTCATGTATAATATTTAAGCTTTTAAAATTAGGTATAAGAACCTTATAATTTATATTGTAAAAATTGAAAATAATTTATATTAAAAATTAAAAATATTATAATAGTAACTTTGGTATTTTAAAACACAGAAATAATTCATTCAAATATAATTTACAAAAATGATAATTGATATTTTGCTTTTTTTTTAAGATTAGAAACATTTTCACCTACTACTGTCTTTATTTTTTCACCAAGCACTAGAATTAAGTAGCAGTGAAGTTGGAAGTAATTAATTCTTAATAAAGAACAAATAAAGTAATAAGATTTTAAAATATTGATATATTTAATAAAACTATTACGGCTTCAAAACTTTTTCAATGAATTTCTTCATATCACGCATTTCCTGTGAAAGTAATAAGTACAATCAAACATATTAATTTATATAATGATTAGTACTATTTTATAAAACAAGATGAAAAAAAATTTTTTTATATTAAAAAATTCTCTACCTCATCACAAGATGCATGCATCATTCCTCTATATGTTTTGAATTCTGTTTGTGTCATAAATTGTTTAAGAACTGATGCAGTCAATTGACCCCATCTATATGGCACTATTGGATCACAATCACCATGACATTGAAGCAATGGAGTATTTTTATTTCCTATTGCTTCCTATAATACATGATGTTATTAAAAAATATTATATACTTCATTTTAATATAATATAAAAATGTATATAAAAATACATACATCTGGAAATTTTTGATGTAAAGGAAGCCAAGCTGATAAAGCTATAATACCAGCTAAAGGTTCTGGAAATGTAAGAGCACTATATATAGCAAGAGCACCACCCTGACTAAAACCTCCAAGAACAATACGTTTTGTAGGTATTCCTGCTGCAACTTCTTCTGCAATTAAAGAATGTACCATTTCTGCAGCTCTACGAATACCTTCTTCATCTTCAGGACCACTTGGTTCCAAAGATCGTAAATCAAACCTAAATTCATTACATGTAATTAATAAAATTATTGTCAATTTGCACTAATAATTTGCATATGTAACTTATTTACCAAGAAGGCATTCTAAATCCTGCATTTAATGTTACTGGCATTGTAGACCTAAAATGATAAAACTAAATGATATAATTTACTTAAATAAAATTATTAAAGTTTTGTTATTTATAATATATTATTTTTACTTTAATTATACATACGCAGTTGGACAAATAACTTTAATATGAGGAGATCTTACTGCTCCCATAGAACTAGCCCAACCATGACTATAAAATAAATAAATAATAAAATTAAATAATAAAAATTATAAAAGATTATATTAATATTATTTAATTACATATATTATTACTTACCCTGTATCACCCAATCCATGGAAAAATATAAGCTGAAATAAAAGTTAATATTATGTAGAAATATATAATTAAATAATATAATTATTTAAATATATTATATATATATATTATATTATACTAGTTTCTTCTATTTTTTCAAATTTTATGCACATTAAATAAATAAAAATGTTTTAAATTATTAAGTTTTTGAAAATTATCTTTAATGTAATATTTTAATTTAAAAAAAAATATATAAATTAAATATAAATTAGAAATACAAATTATAATAATATGGTATATATATTTAATATTTATATGATAAAATTATATCAAGAATAATTAACTTATGGTTAATTAAAATCACTTTGCATCAATCATAACCAAAAAAGAGATATCTTTGAGAGATTTTCCACTTACTGTTGCTGTATGTCTGGCTGTAGCTGCTATTACCACAGGACTCACTGTTGTCATTATTCGTCGCTTTTTTGGACGGGCCACGAAAAAATAGGTAAAATGTATATTAATCCTGTAAAAATCGTAAATATAGAATGGCGGAAGATTCTTCTTGACACTGCTTGAAATTCCTCAAAGCGAATAGAAAGGGATAGAAGTCATGCGCATGCTTTATGAAACTACTTTTAAATGAAAATTCAAATTATTATGCAAACTTGTAGAATTATCTATTATCAACGCATAATTACGTATTACGTATACTTACTTCCTTATCATCAATAATATATAAGAAAATATTTAAAATTCTATAATCTGTTTTTAGCAAATTATTTGAAACTGTCAAATAATTATTAATATACAAATTAATGTTCATAGCAAAGCTTAACAAAGAATACATATTCTTAAGAAGTTACAATTTTCAATTTAAACCTTTTTTTATATGGATAATATTTAATAAAATTAAAATTTAAAATTTATGCAATTAAAGTTTATAATTAAATATAAAAAATTTCATTATATTGTCATAATTTTCAAGTATTTTTTGTTTAAAAATATAAAAATTATATATTATTAATTTAAAAAGAATTTCTCGTTTCTAAAAAAAATAATTTTTTTAAAAATATCAATTAATTTTATACTGTTGATTTATAAAAAAAGATATGCAAGTATAATAAATTTAAAAACAATTTAAATTTTAATATTCGAATTTTTGATTCTTGAATTTCAATTAAAATATATCAAAAGTAGGAAATGCAAAGCGACGCCACTATACAATATATTGACCAATCAGAAACGAAGAGTCCTGAGTTAGTTGAGTCTGCGACGTATACATTTCGGAATGCAAGTAGTGAAAAGATGGTGCTTTGATAGTTGAGACATTCGTTCCGTGGTCGTTCCTAGCCGACAAACCGTGGTTGCCAGCCATATTGTTTTACCGCAGTGTTTGTTTTGGTGCAGCCTAGTCAGAATACGAAGAAATCCGAGGGGATCGACTCGAAGGAAGATAGAAGAATTAGAGTGCAGTTAAAGAAACTACTTAGGCAGTGCGCGTATACGGTGGTTTTGCTGTATTTTTCGGCATAATCATCGTAGCTCGCGGGCTAAGCCCATAATCTAAGTGTCAGTTGTGAATAAAACGGTAAAAGAGAGAAATGGCCTGCGCCACTCTAAAGAGATCTTTGGAGTTCGACCCGGTACATAGTCATGGTCGTCCTAGTAAACGAAGAAGATGTGTACCAATGTGTGTCTCCCCCGGTACATCAACTCAAGCTAATTCCAGGCCACAGAATCCTTCGCCTTTTGGCGAAGTAACCCATAAACTGACGCCTGGTAATTATTATACGTTACGGCCATTTTTATTTTTCTTTTTTTATTTTTTTCCTTTTCATCATGATATGACAGGGAAAGCATGATTAAATCATTTTAGTGATTTAAAACTTGAATTCACGACGTTTAAAAGGGGGAGGGAAGATGCGGCGTTTAGGTAGGGGAAGATGCGTAAATCATATGGTAATGTAGTAACGGACATAAAGAATTAAATCTCTTTTTCTCTTTATTTATAAAATTTATGTTTTTAAAAATTGTTTGATTTCATGATATTACAAATTAATTTTTAAAATAAAAAAAATTAAAAAATTATATTTAAATTTATTGTGCTTTTAAATTTTTTAAATGCTTTATTCATTTAGTGATTATAATTTGCTATCTAATAATTATTGTTATAAACTTTAGAATTTAAATTTAGCATTTTTTTAAATATTTATAATTAAAAGAAATTATAATATATATAATTAAAAATATATTATAATATAATAATTAAAAATTAATTTAAACTATTCAGAATAATATAAAAAATTTAATGTTTTCAAGAAATACAATGAAATTAATTTTTTTTGTATATAGAAAAGATGGCT